AATTCGTAAGTGATCATTATCAACAAATTGCTGATATATGCTGATTGAACAGTTACTGATGTTTAATGATTGTTGTTTCTAAAGTCTACCAAAAAGTTGGTAATAACCGACTCTAAAAATTTAATCGCGTTTTTCTCAAAATTATGTTTATTAAACTAATATGCAACATATTCCAGTCAGTTTTGGTCTAATTAATTTAAAATTTTTATTACATTATTTTTGACAATATGTTTTATTGTCATACGTACAATCTTTACTTTATAACAATCTGTTCTTAAAAAAAATTTTTTTCCAAACATGCGTAATTTTTATAATATTTGAAATTTTAAATTCTGTACGTACAACTATAACTCCAATATTCTTTTTATCTCTTACGCAAGAATAACGTGCATAGCACGTCAATTGTTATTTGTTCCAAATATAGGAATAACGAGCGTAACACGTAGTCTATAATAAAATTTTTTTAAACAAACAAGCTTGTTGCTTTTATTTAAAATTAATTTTATAAATACTTTTGACATTGTTCTTTGGACGGATTGGACATGCTTACCTCTGAATTAATTGCCAGCGCAAAGATTAAATATCTTTTTTTGTTTCGGACAAATAGTTTTTGCACACGCTAATGTTATATTTCGAGAAATATGGATTTTTGAAGCAGACATATTACATACAAAGATTAAGCATTAATTTTCTATTTTATGACATAAAATATATATTTTATTTATACAATCAAAGTATAATAGAAGAAAAATAGTTAATTAACATTTTTTATTTATATAAAATTCTTAAAATACTTCTTCCTTTCAGCGCGGTCACTATAGTTTCTTTCCTGAAACATCAATTCAAGCAAACCCTGCTTTCGTGTCACAGCATACACATGGGTGCTATCAAATTCCACAGAATATATAGGGTTGTCATAAACAAAATCTATATTATACGTCTGAAAGTTTTTAAGACAGTTAATTAGAGGTTACCAATAAAGGTCATTGAAGGACACATAAAATTTAAAAGTAATACAAACTTGAACGCAATCATTGTATCTTTGATCCCATAGAAGTAATGTGCCAAAATTCGTTCCTGCCATAATAGTATACAAATAATCTGTAGAGAAACTATATAATTCATAATTACTGTCTAGGACAGAAGCATCCCATGTACGTACAAATGCGGGTGTTCTAAAATTACAGTAACGAATATAACTTAATTGAATTAATGTTAATGTCAACAATTAGATGTATTACCTTATATCCATTTTTTTAATCTGTTGTTTATACAGCATGAGAATAGAGTGAGGATCTTGCCATAGTAGTCGGAAACAAGTATTATCATTTATACATTTATCCATTTCCTTACAACTAAAATAGCTATACATTAGTTTATTGCACATTATTCCTAATATACACAGAAACCTAGAAGACTAGAGAAAGGAGACTACTCTCTTGTCATCGGGCTATATAATATACTAGAGTGAGCCTTTCGCGTAAAACTAATATGTAGTTTGCTGCCAAAGGAATGCAATAGCAAACGTCTGTTTTCTTTCCACATTTACTACCGTTATGGGAGATATTATAAAATCAAAGACAGACATCAGACAGATTTTTAATGTAGATCTCCCTTTTCCACAGTGGGCCACCATCACTTCTTTAAGGCTCTCACCAGTATGTTATATAACTTATTTAGTTATAGTTACGAATTATAAATACGAAATGGGATCATATAATAGTGTCTGTACAAACATAATCAACCATTTGTAGAAATCGATTAATTAATTGAAACGTAACTTACTTTGTAGTAACATCATAAATTAGTAACGAATTTTCGGCGCTAGCAGCAACTTTTTTTCCTGTAGGGTCTAATGAAATTGACTCAATCAATTTCTTGCCGCTATAAATTGTTTCGTTTTCTTTTGCAAAATCATCATCTTCAAGGGAATTTTTCTGTATCTAAACAAAGACGGATTTTTTACATTCTACATTCTACATTAACATAGCATAATTCCGAATTTTTTAATTTACCTTTATTAAATTTGAAGAACTTGATATAATATGTTGCGGTGTTGCTTCAATGTTCGAAACGAGTTCACCATATACATTGGAATGTGCTTTTAATTGTTGAATATTATTAATGTTATTCCGTGATTCAATTTTCCAATGCCTAATACTACCATCTCTGCAAGAATTTTTGTGAAAAATAAAAGAAAAAAAGAAATAAATATCAAACATAATTTATAAATAAATATTTACACGTGGCCGCTTATAATTATATCATTGCAATAAGCAAAGCTTGAAAATTGACTTTTACAAAATCCAATAATCTGTTCTCTTGTAAGGGTACCGTCCGTTGAACGATTATAAGCTGCAAGTTTCTTTTTGATATAAAACCAAGTTGTATTTTCAGTCATTTTTAGACATATGTCTTCTATATCTATGCTCCAAATATTTGCTATGGGTTGAATAACTAATTTATATAGAAAACTTTCATATTTCCAGACGTAATGCATAATAAGTTTTGACTTATACGAAGATAATAGCGGTTTACATCTGCACAAAAGAATAAGACGTACGTTCTTTAATGTGATCTTATGTAAAAACGTGAATATTTTACGTATTGATAATATCTAAATATTAAAATGTATTTTAAAAAGACATGGTTGAAAAATTAAATCAAGTTTTGCACAATTAAAAATACGATAAAAAGCTGTTACTTAACGTTAGTATGTGCGAAAAAGTTTTATTAACGTATATTGTACTATATTTAAAAAAAATATTTTTGTTATCTGAGAACACTTTTTTACTAATAATTGCTTTGATAGAGACTAAGAGTATAATTTTATTGATTTATTTTGTGCAAAAGTACAGAGAAGATTGTAACGTCGACAGATATAATGTATAAATTTTTGATTATTATTTGAAAAATGAAAGGGTGGGGGGCACATTAGCGCCGATGTGCGTGTATGAGAGAATGGAGATGTGATGTAAATAAACCGCGGTAGAGACAAATAGAAAAACTATAGAAAATACTTATGCTGACAAAAGTCGTTACTTGGAGAAATATAATACTGAGAATCATCAACGAACATGTGATTTTAAGACAGAGCAGGAACAATAATATGAAGTGAAATTTATGAAAAATTGGTTCGACAAATTACGTGGTTCCTATAAAATTTTAGAATAAATTGAAATAGAAATAAATATTAAGCTATATTTAACCTACCGTTCACGAAATTTTTCCGACACTTCATTCGTAACATGCAAATGGTTACTTTTTTGATTTAAGGTGGTGTTTGATAAATGATAAAATCTTTTGCATACTCTGTTGAGCTGTAATAAAGTATATACGTCACATAAATCAAAAATCATTAAGAATATTTCGTTCGGTAAAATATCTACGAGAGACATATTTGTCTTTTTAATTGGACGTTATCACACAAGAATATGAATACTACAGTATGACAATCGGTATGTGCACTGAACGCTACACTAGAACAGAGTTGCTAGAACGATACACCGGAGCCTGATCACTGACATCTATACTGTAGGCTGCTAATATCAGACTGGCGTCAAATCTATAATGAACTCCACATATTAAATTTTTGCGCATGTCAGAACGCTGATGGACAGCAGTCATCTTTTAATTGGTTGATGAATTTAAATGTTATGAATATAATATAATTTGAATTATAAATTAAAAAAATGTAATTTATTATTATTATAATAAGTATATACATATATATACTTATTTTGTTAAAAATAAAAAAGTTATAATGTCAAAATACAACTTTTAAGGTAAAAACTGAAATTTACAAATTAATTACTTAATTGTATTTATTTAGCAATGTTTACGCAATTATAAAGTAGTGATGCAATTCTTAAGAATATTTGGAGAATATTTAACATATGTACATATCGTTTTATTGTTAAATACGGTCTGACAATTTTCGTTTAAGGGCTGTTTATACCAATTTTTTCATGGACTTTATCTCTCAGTTACCTAAAATAAATATCAGTAATCCTTATTCGATGGTTGGATTAACGAGTAAAATTACTTCTTGGTAATAAGAATAAAATCCGTAGGTTAACATTATCGACAAATTAATGATATTTATTGATACAACAGTCACTGATATTTATTGATGTTTATTTCGACAGTCTACCAGAAAATTGGTAATAACCGGCCCTAAAATTTTAATCTTGTTTTTTACAAAATAAAGTTTACGAATCTAATGTGCGACATATTCTGGTCAGTTTTGTTCTAATTAATTTAAAATTTTTATTACATTATATTTGTCAGTATGTTTTATCGTCATACGTACAATCTTTACTTTGTAACAATTTGTTCTTAAAACAATTTTTTTCCAAACGTAATTTTTATAATATTTAAATTTTTTTAATTTTGTATTTACCACTATAACTTCAATATTCTATTTTATTTCTTACGCAAAAATATTGCGCATATCACGTCAATCGTAATTTGTTCCAAATGCAGAAATAATAAGCGTAACACGTATTCTATATAAAACTTTTTTTAAACCAACAAGTTTGTTGCTTTAGTTTAAATTAATTTTATAAATACTTTTGACGTTGTTTTTTGGACGGATTGGACATATTTGCCTGTGAATTAATTGCCAGCGCTAAACATTATAAAACTTTTTTTGTTTTGGACTAATAGATTTCACACACGCTAATATTATGATTTGAGAAATATGGATTTTTGAAGCAAACATTACATACAAAGATTTACATTTATTTTCCATTTCATGACATTCATTATATAATTTATGTAAACAATCAAAGTATATAGAAGAGAATAGAAGAAAAATTGTTAAATTTTTTTTATTTAAATAAAGTTGCTAAAATACTCTTTCCTTTTTTTAGCGCGGTTATAATAGTCTTTTCTCCAAAAATTATATTCAAACACACCTTCATTTAGTGTAATAGCATACATATGAGTGCTATCAAACTGCACAGAAAATACAGGGTTCATAATAACACAGTCGTAACGATAGTTACGACTTATACCATAGGTCTGGAAATTTTTAAGAGAATTAATAATAGGTTACTAATAAAGGTCATTACATGATACATAAAATTTAAAAGTAATACAAACTTGAATGTAGTCGCTTATTCTTTGATCCCACAGAATTATTGTACCAATATTCGTCCCTGTAATAATACTATACAAATTATCTGAAGAAAAACAGCATAATTCACATTTTTTGTTTGGAAATGAAGCATTCCATGTACGTACAAATTCGGATGTTCTAAAATCACAGTAGCAAATATAATTTAATTAAATAACCAGTTAATATCAACAATAAGATCTATTACCTTATATCCATTTTTTTAATACATTTTTTATACAGCATGAGAATAGTGTGAGTATCATCCCATAGTAAATGGGAACAAGTATTATCATTTATACGTTTATTCATTGCCTCACAACTAAAATTTTACATTAGTTTATTGCATATTATTTCCAATATACATGAAAATCTAGAAGACTACAGAAAGGAGACTTCTCTCTTGTCATCGGGCTATATAATATACTAGAGTGAGCCTTTCCCGTAAGAACTAATATGTAGTTTGCGGCCAAAAAATTGCAATAATAAATTATCTGTTTTCTTTTCACATTTACTACCGTTATGATGGGGGATATTATAAAAACGAAGACAAACATCAGACAGATTTTCTCTAATACAACTCTCCCTTTTTCACAGTGGGCCACCACCGCTCCTTCAAAGCTCTCACCAGTATGTTATATAACTCATTAAATTATAATTACTAAATTGGATCATATAATAGTGTCTGTACAAACATAATCAACGTTTAATTGAACATTTGTAGAAATCGATTAATTAATAGAAGCATAACTTACTTTTTATTAATATCATAAATTAGAAGCGATTCTTCGGTACTAGCAGCTACATTTGTTCCCGTAGGGTTTAATGAAATTGACTGAATCAATTTCTTGCCGCTATAAATTGTTTCGTTTTCTTCCGCGAAATCATCATTTTCAAGTGTATTTTTCTGTATCTAAACAAAAACGGACTTTTTACATTCTACATTCTACATTAACATAGCATAATTCCAAATTTTATAATCTTACCTTTATTAAATTTGAAGAACTTGATATAATATGTTGCGTTGTTGCTTCTATATTCGAAACGTGCTTACCATGTACATTGGAATGTGCTTTTAATTGTTGAAGATTATTAATGTTATTCTGTGATTCAAATCTCCAAAGCCTAATACTGCCATCTCTGCAAGAATTTTTTGTGAAAAATAAAAAAAGAAATAAACATAAAATTCGATTTATAAATAAATATTTACACGTGACCGCTTATAATTATATCATTGCAATAAGCAATGCTTGAAAATTGAGAGTTAACAGTTCTATGAATCTTGTTTTGCGCAATGCTACCGTCCTCTGCACGATTACAAGCTGAAAGAACATTTTTGTCATAAAACCAAATTGTATTTTTAGTCATTTTTAGGCATCTTTCGTTCATTCTCCTGGCTGTCATATTTTCATTGTAAACTTTAGGTAATGTATCGATGGAAAGTCTACAAGCTATTCCAAATTTCCAGTTGTAATGCATAAGAAATTTAGAATTATACGAAGATAATAGTGGTTTACATCTGTAAAAGAAAGTAAGACGTACGTTCTTCAATGTGATCTTATGTAAAATCGTGAATATTTTATGTACTGATAATATGTAAATATTAAAATGTATTTTAAAAAGACAAGCTTATAAAGTTCAACCAAGTTTTGCACAATTAAAAATATGGCAAAAGCTACGACTTAATGTTAATATGTGTGAAAAAGTTTTATGAACATATATTGTACAATATTAAAAAAAAAATATTTTTGTTATCTGAGAACACTTTTTTACTAATAATTGCTGTGATAGAGACTAAGAGTATAATTTTATGGATTTATTTTGTACAAAAGTTCAGAGAAGATTGTAACGTCGACAGATGTAATGTATAAGTTTCTGATAGCTATTAATTGAAAAATGAAAGAGGGATCACATTAGCGCTGATGTGTTTGTATGAGAGAATGGAGATGTGATGTAAATAAATCGCCGTAGAAACAGATAGAAAAACTGTTGAAAATACATATACTGGCAAAATTCGTTACTTGAAGAAATATAATATTGAGAATCATCAGCGAGCATGTGATTTTAAGACAGAGCAGGAACAATACTATAAAGTGAAAATTATGAAAAATCTGTTTGACAGATTACGTGTTACCAATAAAATTCTAGAATAAATAGAAATACAAATAAGAATTAAGCTATATTTAACTTACCGTTCGCGAAATTTTTCCGACATTTGATTCGTAACAAGTAAATGGTTACTTTTTTTATCTAAGACCTCTCTTGATATTACATCAAGTTTTTTGCATACTCTTCTGAGCTGCAGTAAACTATATACATCACATAAATTAAAAATTATTAGCAATATTTCGTTCGGAAAAATGTCTAGGAGAGACATATTTGTCTTTTTAATTGGACGCTATCATACGAGAATATGAACACCACAATGTGACAATCGGTATGTGCACACCACTAAACGTTACACTAGAACCTAGAACCAGAGTTGCTAGAACGGTACACCGGGGCCTGATCACAGACATCTATAATGTGTACTAGACTGCTAACACCAGACTCAAATATATAACAAGAAACTCTACGTATTAAATTCTCGCGCATGTGAGAACGCTGCTGGACAGCAGTCGCCATTTAATTGGTTGATGAATTTTAATGTTATAAATATAATTCAAATCACAAATTTAAAAAAATATAATTTATTATTATTATGATAAATATATATAAATATTTATACTTATTTTGTTAAAAAATAAAAAAATTATAATCTCAAAATACAACTTTTAAGGCAAAAACTGAAATATATAAAATAATTACTTAATCGTTTTTATTTAGCAATGTTTACGCAATTATAAAGTTGTGATGCAATTCTTAAGAATATTTGGAGAATATTTAACATCTGTACATATCGTGTTATTGTTAAGTACAGTCTGACCATTTTCGATTAAGGGCCGATTGACCATTTTTTTGATGGACTTTACTTCTCAGTTAGCTAAAATAAAAATCAGTAATTTTTATTTTATGGTTGGAATAACGAGTGGAATTACTTCTTTTTAATAATAATTTAATTTGTACGTGATCATTATCAACAAATTACTGATATATATTGATGCAACAATTACTGATAGTTATTGATGTTTGTTTCTAAAATCTACCAGAAAGTTGGTAATAACCGGCCCTAAAACTTCAATCGCGTTTTTCTAAAAATGAAGTTTATTAAACTAATGTACAACATATTCCAGTCAGTTGTGGCCTAATTAATTTAAAATTTTTATTAAATTATTTATAACAGTATGTTTTATCGTCATACGTACAATCTTTACTTTATAACAATTTGTTCTTAAAAAAAATTTTTTTTTTGCAAACATGCATAAGTCTTAGAATTTTTATATTTTGTTATTTTTATACGATTATAACTACAATATACTTTTTTATTTCTTACGCAGGAATAACGCGCATAGCGTGTCAATTTTTATTTGTTTCAAATATAGGAATAACTAACGTAACACGTAGTCAATATAAAATTTTTTTAAACAAACAAGTTTGTTGCATTTATACAAAATTATTTTTATAAATATTTTAGACGTTGTTTATTGGACAGGTTGGACATGCTTGCCCGTGAATTAATTGCCAGCGCAAAAGATTAAAGATCTTTTTTTTGTTTCGGACAAATAGATTTTGCACACGCTAATGTTATATTTTAAGAAATATGGATTTTTGAAACAGACATATTACATACAAAGATTTAGTATTTATATTTTCTATTTTATGACATTAAATATATAATTTATTTATACAATCAAAATATAATAAATGAAAAATAGTTAGTTAACATTTTTTATTTAAATAAAATTGTTAAAATACTTTTTTCTTTCAGCGCGGGTATAATAGATTCCTCTTTTAAAATTATATTCGAACAAACCTTCTAGTTGTGAAATAGCATACATATGGGTGCTATCAAATTCCACAGAAAGTACAGGGTTGTATAAAGTATCTGTATTAATATGTATACTATAATTCTGAAAATTTTTAAAACAGTTAATAATTGGTTACTAATAAAGGTCATTGCAAGATACATAAAATATGAAAGTAATACAAACTTGAATGAAATCATTTAATCTTTGATCCCATAGAATTACCATACGATTATTTATCCCTGTCATAATACTATACAAATTATCTGAAGAGAAACAACAAAATCCACGATTTTTGTTTAGAAATGCAGCATTCCATGTACGTACCAATATGGATGTTCTAAAATCACAGTAGCAAATATAATTTAATTAAATAACCAGTTAATATTAACAATAAGATCTATTACCTTATATCCATTTTTTTAGTCTGTTGTTTATACAGCATGAGAATAGTGTGAAGATCTTGCCATAGTAGTTGGGAACAAGTATTATGATTTATACATTTATCCATTTCCTTACAACTAAAATAGCTTTACATTAGTTTATTGCATATTATTCTTAATATACATAAAAACCTAGAAGACTGGAGAAGGGAGATTAAACTCCTTTCCTGTCATCGGGCTATATAATATACTGGAGTGAGCTTTTCGCGTAAGAACTAACATGTAGTTTGGGGCCAAAGGAATGCAATAGCAAACGTCTGTTTTCTGTCCACATTTACTACCGTTATGATGGGGGATATTATAAAAACGAAAACAGACATCAGATAGATTTTCTATAATTACGCTCTTTTTTTTCCACAGTGCGCAACCACCTCTCCTTTAAGGTTCACACCAGTATGTTATATAACTCTTTAAGTTATAATTACAAATTATAATCATATAATAGTGTTTGTACAAACATAGCCAACTATTATTTAAACATTTGTAAAAATCGATTAATTAATTGAAACATAACTTACTTTGTAGTAATATTATAAATTAGAAACGATTTTTCGGCACTAGCAGCAACTTTTGTTCCTGTAGGGTCTAATGAAATTGACCGAATCAATTTCTTGCCGCTATAAATTGCTTTGTTTTCTTCCGCAAAATCATCATCTTCAAGTGTATTTTTTTGTATCTAAACAAAAACCGACTTTTTGCATTTTACATTCTACATTAACATCGCATAATTCCAAATTTTTTAATCTTACCTTTATTAAATTTGAAGAACTTGATATAATATGTTGCGTTGTTGCTTCTATGTTCGAAACATATTCACCATATACATGGGAATGTGCTTTTAATTGTTGAATGTTATTCTGTGATTTAATTCTTCAACGCCTAATACTGCCATCTCTGCAAGAATTTTTGTGAACATTAAAAAAGAATAAATAAACATAAAACAAAATTTATAATAAATATTTACACGTGGCCGCTTATAATTGTATTATTGCAATAAGCAATGCTTGAAAATTGACAGTTACAAGATCCAATAATGTTTGCCGTAATGTCACCGTCCTTTGCACGATAAAAAGCTGAAAGAATATTTTCTACATAACACCAAATTGTATTTTCAGTCATTTTTAGGCTTCTTTCCTTCATTATTATGTATCCCGTAGTATCTATGTGACCTCTAACTAAATCACTCTTAGACATGACTTGTCTATGAGCTATTCTCTTTTTTCAGTTGTAATACGTAATAAATTTAGAATTATACGAAGACAATAGTGGTTTACATCTGTAAAAGAAAGTAAGACGTACGTTCTTTAATGTGATCTTATGTAAAATTGTGAATATTTTACGTACTGATATAATCTAAATATTAAAATGTATTTTGAAAAGACACGCTTGAAAAATTAAATCAAGTTTTATAGAATTAAAAATACGATAAAAAGCTATGACTTAACGTTAATATGTATGAAAAAGATTTATCAACATATATTGTACTTCATTTGAAAAAAAAATATTTTTGTTATCTGAGAATACTTTTTTATTAATTGCTTTGATGGAGATAAGAGTGTGATTTTATCGATTTATTTTGTGCAAAAGTACTGAGAAGATTGTAACGTCGACAGATATAATGTATAAATTTCTGATTGTTATTGATTGGAAAATGAAAGAGGGGACATATTAGCGCCAATATGCTTGTATAAAAGAATGGAGTTGTTATGTAAATAAACCGCGGTAGAGAGAGATAGAAAAACTATAGAAAATACATATACTGGCAAAAATCGTTACATGGAGAAATTTAATATTGAGAATCATCAGCGAACATATAATTTTAACATAGAGCAGAAACAGTAATATAAAGCAAAAGTTATCAAAAATCGGTTCGACAGATTACGTGTTACAAAAAAAATTTTAGAATAAATTAAAATACAAATAAGAATTAAGCTGTATTTAACTTACCGTTCACGAAATTTTTTCGACACTTCATTCGTAAGAAGCAAATAGTTACTCTTTTTATTTAAGATATTGTTTGATAGATCATGAAATTTTTTGCATACACTGTTGAGCTGTAATAAAGTATATACATTACATAAATAAAAAATTATTAGGAATATTTCGTTCGGTAAAATATCTACGAGAGACATATTTGTCTTTTTAATTGGACGTTATCACACAAAAATATGAACACTACAGTATGACAATCGGTATGTGCACACTAAGCGCTACACTAAAACCGAGAACTGGAGTTGCTAGAACGATACACCGGGGCCTGATCACTGACATCTATACTGTAGGCTGCTAATACTAGACTGGCGTCAAATATATAACAACAAACTCTACGTATTGAATTCTCGCGCATGTCAGAACGCTGATGGACAGCAGTCATCTTTTAATTGGTAGATGAATCTAAATGTTATGAATATAATATTATAATTCGAATTTTAAGTTTAAAAAAATATAAATTATTATTATTATAATGAGTATATATATATATTTATACTTATTTTGTTAAAAATAAAGAAATTATAATGTCAAAATACAACTTTAAAGGTAAAAACTGAAATATATAAAATAATTACTTATTTGTATTTAGCAATGTTTACGCAATTATAAAGTAATGTTGCAATTTTTGAGGATATTTGGAGAATATTTAACATTTTTTCATATCTTTTTAAAGTTAAATACGGTCTGACAATTTTCGATTAAGAGCCGATTATACCAATTTTTTGATAGACTTTTTTTCTTGGTTACCTCAAATAAATGTCAGCAATCCTTACTCGATAGTTGGAATAACGAGTAAAATTACTTCTTGGTAATAATAATTTAATTTGTAGGTGAACATTATCAACAAATTGCTGATATATATTGATTCAACAGTTACTGATGTTTAATGATTGTCGTTTCTAAAGTCTACCAAAAAGTTGGTAATAACCGGACCTACAAATTTAATTGCGTTTTCTCAAAATTAAGTTTATTAAACTAATGTGCAACATATTTCAGTCAGTTTTGGTTTAATTAATTTAATATTTTTATTACATTATTTTTGTACAGTATGTTTTATCGTCATACGTACAATCTTTACTTTATAACAATTTGTTTTAAAAAATTTTTTACCTAAAC